TCACTTTCTCATGATCTGTCCAAAATATGGAAACTTGCGCCAACAACTTATGTCTGAATTTAATTTTCTATCACATGATGCACACAATACATTCATTCGATTGCTCAGTGCAGATGATTGTGAAATTATAAAAAAGGTTTCACAGTTTATTTACAAAGCCTTTCAAGAAAGAATAGATAGTTGAATTTTATTATTATTAGTCTTAGTTTTATTATTATTAAACATATTAGTATTAGTAAAAAAAATTTAACACATTACATTTTACTTTTATACTTAACATTATAATATTTTCTCTTTCTTTATTATTTCATTATTATTATTATTATTATTATACTTTGTTATACTTTTATTGCTTCTGTACTGATAGAAATACTGTATTTCTAAAGATGCAATAAATATTATTGTTATTATATAGATTGGAGTGTCTATCAAGTATTCAACACCAACAGCAGGAAATCTTTTCTGCATCAATCGATTTGGCTTTTGGGGAACCATGGTTAAGGTGATTGTGTTTGGCCAAAACTGGTGTTATTCTTTTACGATAAGACAATGTTCATACAGCCCTGTTATGTACCGTAATCCCAGACATGGAATACAAAAAATTCACTACCATATTTTTATTATAGCATGTGTGCTTATAAATATATGAGAGATGCCAGGTCAAACTAATATATTTGAATGATCTAGTATTTATTATAGTATACATTTTGATCTAGAGTTTAATAATGCTGATTTGGAGCCACAAAACATCCTTGTGTATTGGACAAAATTGTTGCAGGTTGATGCAAAACCAAATCACTGCCTCAAGTAATGACATTAAACTGCATAATTTGATGAGTTGAGTGGGCAAGTTCACATGCTTAGATGGAAATACAGAAGTCCATGTCTAATTTCACTCTGTTTATTATAACTGACTCCATGCAGAAACCAAACACACAATGGTGAATTTATTTATCATTACTTTTTACAGGATGATTGCTGAATATGATGTTAAACTTAATGATGTGGTACAGAATGATCCACGCCATAGGAAACTTTTTGACAAAATATCTGAGAATAAAGCATTAGTGGATAAAGTGCTGACAAGATCAGCTATAGTGCAGGTGAGGAGATAGGGGGCGCTGTTCAGGGAAAGCCTTTAAGCGTTTATTATAGATTTGATAGATTCTTTTGACCATCCTCCCATACTTGTTTTTTAGCTCCACAGTTGACTTAGTTGATCGAGCGAAGCTGTTCATATTCATTTTTCTGTCACCTGCTGTCATCTGTTGTGCTATTTTCGTCTTCTTCTTGAAAATGTCTGATTGCTGAGCTATTTTATATGTAGACACCTTGAGTGAACCTTAGTCAGATTTGTTCAGTTTACGACAATACCTTTTATTCTCTAATTATAGTGAATTGTAATTTTAAATTGTAATATTTTAAAATATGCTATTTTAAACTTCTTCTTTAAAATGTCTAGCCCAATTGTTTGTATAATTTATACACAAATCTTGGGTAGACCTCTTATTTTGTGACGGCAAGTTTTTTTTAGTGAATATTTTAGTAATTTTTTTTTTTAAATGCTCTTTTCAACTGTCTAACTACAATATAAACAGCTGAGCTATATCAGCTGGCTGCTTGTATCAAAATGTTTTGTATACTAGTAGTTTGCTATTAAAGTTGTATTTCCTCTTTGAAAATATGTAAATGACAGGCAGAACAAGATAAAAAACCGAAAATAAATTCCAAGTGGAAATTAAGTATTCTACAGTAATATGTATTATTACATATGTACTGCAGTTTATTTTGATTCGTCCCTGAAATCAAAATCGGTATTTCCACACCTGATATGCAAATGAGTCTGAGAGCAAACAAAGTAGTCCCTTCAGGAGTACTGTTTTTCGAAACATAGCAGAAATAAACAATATTAAGAAGTACGATATTTCTCTCTTAGGGTACATGAATATACTTGCCGAGTGAAATGAAATTTGAAGAACAGTAATGGTACTTTTTGGCAGTCACTTATTTTGACAAAAACTAATTTGCATATGTATTCGGTATTTTCACGGTCGATATGCAAATGAACATGGTATTTCTATTGGCTACCGAACTATTTTTCTTTTGTAAGCACATTTTCGTCCGATTCAAGTCATTAGGTGTATGAGAGGCGATGTATTCTGCTGTACTTTCTGCTGTACGGCCGCAGGATACTCTGAATCACTTGTGAAAATAACTTCCATACGCAACGAAAGCCACAGGGAGGGTGTGGGGTTCTGTCGTATTGTTTTTTATTGAAAATGTAAGCATGTAGCATGACAACCACCACTCTACAATCTCAAACTGATTGTCTATGTTTTTGTCCATGTTTCTATATATCTGTAGGTCACTATTTTAGAAACGTTGAGTGAACCAAAGAAAAAACTCTGTGTTGCAAACACTCACCTCTACTTTCACCCACGGGCAGCCCATATTAGATTGATACAGAC